CAAATATCCCACTTCTTCTAAAGCTATTTTCTCTCTATCTGGATAAACGTACTTATTCTTTCTATTGAAAAACCGTATACCACGTTACAAATCTTGAGATAAGACCGACATGAGCAATTATCGGCCCATAAATATTACTTGAGTTATATCTAGGAGTATGGAAAAATTGTTGGTGAAGAACTCGCCAACCATTTATTCACTGGAAAATTTATCATCGGTTCTCAACATGGACATGCCACTTTGACTTCATTAATTTAGTCCTTACTCAACATAAGCGAGGATATCTAGTCTTACTGCTGTACTTTCACATTTCTAAAGCTTTTGACATTGCTTCTTATAGGCGAACTCGCGTCTCATGGAGTCGAAAATCTTCTGCTTGGTTGGTTCAACTTTTTCCTCAGCCACTGACACCAAATAGTTAAAATTAACTCTTCCTTGTCAAATGCTGTTCGGTCAAAAGTGGTGTAATATAAAGTAGTCTTAATCCCTTTGCTTTTTTACTTTATACCAATAATATTTGCGATTGTTTTGACGTGGGTAAGCCCTTTCTATATGCAGATGATCTTAGAGTAGTGTATTAACAATATAAAAAAAATTGAATCAGCATCGAACTCAACAAGGTAGCCCAATAGTGCTCAACGTGGCAGCTAGATCATAACACAGCTAAATGTGTTTCAGTAATGCATCACTCAACTTAGATCTTACCATAAATGGTAAGGTGTTATTTAAATCACATACATTAGTGGACTTAGGTACTCCTACAATTTGTTCTTCACAAAACAGGTCTCGAAACAGGCCCCCAAGTCCCAACGTCTTACGGGTTACATAATTCATAACCTCTATAACGAGATATGTATTTTGTTGCATAAAGTGTGTATTCGACCACTCCAACAATACTGCATGTTTATCCTTAGTGTACGAGTAAAAAGGGAGACAATTTACACTTTGTATTCTTGGAACTGATTGTACCTTAAATTATAAGTCCAGATGTAAGACACTTGAACTGGGCCCTTTATGGAAGAAGTGGGTCAGACTAGACCTAGTCTTTTTCTTCCAAGTACTTAGTAAACAATCCTTTACATACAGCGACGTAATTAAATGTACAGAAAATCCCAGTTACAGCGAACGCAACTTCTTATCATTAGTGAAAAAAATACATTCTAAATAATCTCTCGATATAAATTACTTTACCAGTAAATCTTCCAGAGTCTGAAATAATTCTACCACAATCTATTCCTGAGATAAAATCACTACTATCCTTTGTTCGCCGCATCGATGCTTACTTCTCTGAAACTGCACTGAATTTTATTGTACCTGTAAGTGTATCTTATTCCACAGGTGAGATTATAGGGACTTTAAATGCTTAGTCATTTATACTATTGTATCCACTAAGCAAGCCTACCTATCTTGTTACTTTACACTTCTGTTTTATTTTCTCTAATTATAAATGGTTATAATTAATTCATTATGAGGCAGGAATTGACCTTAAATGCACCGTTCATACATCAACAGGATGTCAACTTAAAAAGAATTAAAAGTTTCCGGTTGATGCCTTTCATTGCTGTAATACATGTGAAAAATGTACTACCTAAACATATTTCAAGTCAGAAAACTTAAAACAATCTTATATCACATATTTTTTCTATATTTAATGTTAATATCTATATCAAGCGGATTATGCCTGTAAACTGGCATGGATTCTGTGATTATTTTCAGAATATATATATATATATATATATATATATATATATATATATATATATATATATATATATATATATATATATATATATATATATATATATATATATATATATATATATATATATATATATATATATATATATATATAATTAAGCGACTATCTATCGTAATCCAGTCTAGGAGAACCTGTCCTACCTTTAAAATTAATGTTCTACTTACACCAACGAGGTCACACGAAGTATTAGTGTGGTCTCCAGATACACAAAGGGTGGATCGCATCGGTTTTTTATATTGACAGATTAAGGTCAAACGAAAGACCGTACTTGGATTCTGCATGCGCACTTCGCAGTCGTAGCATATATCGATGATGTGAGACCCTAGTGTCCTAGCTAAGGAAGCTTGTTGTCCTATCATTGGGTTAGGAGAATTATTAGGTGAGGGGAAGATTTTATCGTGAACAAAATGATCCTGGATGCTGTTAGAGATAAGAAGCGGTTGTTATTTCCCAGGTACTCATAACATGGAACGACATTTTTTCTTGAAGGACAACTAATCTATAATTCAATTTTTAAGAAACAAACTTAGAGGTTTTAAATAATTATTTTACCTATTAATCTAAATTAAACTTTAAAATGATGATATTATTTCTGTAAATCAAATTCAATAGCAGTCATATTTATAGTATCCAATAATGTGTATACATAAAACTGAAGCTACCATTATTTAGCTTTATTACATAACACGATATAAATAATCATAGATCGTATTAATGATGTACAAAAACATTCCTTATTACAAAAGTTATCAAATTTCTTTGTATCAGGTCAATTGTTTAATCTATATATTTGTTACTTTGATAATTTGTCACCATAACAAAATACCTAACTTACTCCTACATAACTTCAAGATAATTCATAAGTTGAATTCGTTCATATCTTTTTATAGCTTATATTGATTTAGTAGTTGTTTATAATGTGATATGAAGGGATACAGCATTTTACAATGTAGTAGTAGTAGTATTAGTAGTATCAGTACTAATCAACTATCATTTTATTCGATATGTTTCATTGAACTATGATTAGTGTAACATTGAAAAAAGCATAATTAACTAATATCAGTCAATACAAATTATTTGAATGTTTATAAAAGAGTTGATTGGAACTAATTAATTAATTCTTATGAGCATGACGTATATAATTTCAAATTGATCTAGTACCTTCAACTTTTATTTTGATCCATTTTTTAATTATTGAATACCTTTTATGATTAACAATAATCTCAACCTCAATTATATATATATTTCATGACAATAAAATAGAATAATCAGTTGATTATCATAATAGTTAACCTTGTTTTATTGGATAAGATTAACATAGATTGACTGGGAAGTAAGCACTTCATCTTGAATAGATGAATTGACAGCACTCCTTACATTAGTTTAGAAATAAGAGTGTAGTAAAATAGTAACTCTGTTGCAACTTGTTAATTTCTACGTTATCTTAAAAAAATTGAAGACTAACGATTAAACTGAATGGACCTTAAACACTGAAAATATGGATTTCTAACTGTAGCGAGTTTTATTACAAGCAATAGATTACAACACATCTTTACAATGAAATTCTCAATTATACTGCATATAGAACTACGGAGAAAATTTTTCCACATTATTTAGTATGTATTATCTCTGAATTCATTAATTTATTTTCCAAGTACTTACATTAAATAGTGACACAAGCATTCACAAATTATTTAAATAACGTTATTATAATGAATATTCTGATCTAAATTTCTTCGGTTCACATTATGAAAGAGTTCGAGATTTAAGTGTAACTAGAATGAAATTTGACTCTTATTAGACAGCATATTCACCATTGAATATATTCTACCAAATAATTTTTTTCTATACTTACAGCATTAATAATATACGACTCAATTTATCAACACAAATTTGCATTTTTTAAAAGAACCATTCTTTACTCAATATAATTAAGAATAGCAAGCAAAAGTTCTATTCCATGCTTTGACCGATAATGATTCTTTAATGAAAAATGTGTGGATACTTCATATATTGAAATTTAGAATATTATTTATGACTAGCTATTAAGAATGTGCCAGTCAGAAACAACGTAGAACTCCGTACGTACGTACATTAGTTCGAGTTGCCATACCACATAAGCACAGGGATACAATTGTCAATTCAAATACCGTAGTGGTAGAGGTAGTAAGAGTATAAGCAGTAATCGGAAAAATTAGAGTTTGAAGATGTTATTCAAAGAATATAACCCAGTGAAATTTGAAAAGAGAAAAAAAGGGATATGAAGAATTCAGATTAGAATTTGGGAGAACACAAAGAGTGGATGCACCTGCGCCATCGCAAACGATTTTGAGCCATGTCATTCAAGGTGTCTAACCATTGGTTGCTATCATCTCGCAGTCCCCAACCAGGTAGTCTACACCTACCAACATGAATCAGTCCAGCTGTCAGTAACTTCATGAACTTGTGCCATGTTTTGGTCTGGCCGCCCCTAGCTTTCTTCTAACCTACTCCTACACCATGAAACAACGCATATCGAGACAGTCAATGGTTGGGCATACATAACACGTGTCCCAGCCATCTTAACTGGTGGAGTTCCACTACTTTATCAATTGATTTGCCATCCGTACCTAGTACCCGTTTCCTAACAACTGAGTTAATTACTCGATGGTCCCAGGATATACGAGAAATGTTTCGAAGACATCTATGATTAAATACTAGCAACCCACAAATATCCTCTACTCTTACCGGCCATATTTCACTGTCATAAAGTAGGACAGAACGAACTGCTGCGCAGTAAACACGTCCTTTGGTTGGTAGACGGATATCTCGCTTACGCCATAAATGACGTAAGTTGGCAGAAGCTAGTCGAGCCTTCTGTATCCGTGCTGAGATTTCGTCACACACTAGACCACGGGGGCTGATGAGACTCCTTAGATAAGTGAAGCGGTCAACACGCTCAACTACTTCACTCCCTATCATTAGTTCGGGTGTCGATGCAATCCAATCCTGAAGTAACATTTTGCACTTCGAGGGGAAGAATTGCATCCCGAACATGCCTGCATTGTTGCTTACAGTAGTCAGAAGACTCTGCATTTTGTCAGTGTCTTCACCAAACAGAACTATGTCATCGGCGTATTCTAAGTCAACAAATGAATCTCCCTGTAAAAGTTCGACCCCTAGAAACTATACATTAAGAATGTGTAGTTTAGATATTACTATGTAGTCAGTATTAAGTATCAAGAGTAAAACAAACACTGGATTAATTGATTGAAAATACATTTATTATTTTATTTTAACTAAACTCATGAATCCGTTAAATTGAAGGAATAAACAAGATAATTTAAAAGTGAGAAACCAACTAGAATTAATAGTAAACGATTAGAGGAAATGAAGAAATAATAATAATAAGAAAACACATACATATAAAGCAAAGCGAATTAATGGAGATATATGTGAAATGTTTGTATCCGAATAACATTGTTCATACTTATATTTTCTTTGACTTTTTATTCACATGACATTTTATAAAGCAGATTTACTGAAACTGACACGAATACGCATATTCTCTTCTATGGGATAATCATGCATTGTCTAGAATAGAAAAAAAGGATAATAAAATTAAAACATTTCTTTTCTCATACAAACAAATAAAATAGATTTTAAAAAAATAAGGAAAATACCGGTAGATTTAATTCTGTTTTACAAAGTAAAAATAAATAGGATTGTGTCTTGGTAGGGTCGACCTACTAAAATAAATAGACAAGTTATTTCAATATTGGATCAAATGAATAGATAAATTACACAGTACTATACAAATACATATGATTACACGATTACTATGAAATATTCTCAACATAGTTTCGTCAAAATAAAAACTTTTGAAAAAAGGCATACTATAGTTTTGGCTCAGTAATTATTTATTTATAAGGTGCGTTTGCAGGGCGATGGGGCTAAGGTACTCTACTTTAAACTACTATTACGTTATAGAAAGTTGAATTTCTCTTGAATTAATTTAATTTGATTGATCGAGTAAGTAGTATCAATAGCCCTCTTACAACCCAAAATGTTGCTGAAAGACAAATTCATAAAAATATCTACGGACATGAAAAACGTTCCACATGGCTTTTCGCATAACAACCAAAATATTATTTAACATTTTATCTTGCAGTAGTTTGGAAACATGAACATTCATTATAGTTTTTACTTTAACAAGCAAGAATATTTAGTGTATGTAACAAAAATTAATGTATTATAGTTCATGCAAATATAGCAATAAGCCACTGTTCTAGATAAATAAATACAAAATAGGATATCTAACCTCATATTTTTAATAAAAATGAAATAGACTACTGACAAACTTTGTAGATAGATGTGATTTGTTGAGAATGGACAGCAACGAATTTTACTGAGTTGAAATTACTTACAATTAATGCTGAAACTGCTTCTTCTAAATTTGCAAATTCAATTAAAGCCATTTTCTTATCAGCTCTGGAAAAAATAATGATACAGAATTAAAAAAGTATAAAATACCAGATAAGATCTTCGTATTTAGAGATCATAGTATTTGAATTAGATTTACCCAATATAATATGATCAACAAATTGATTATGTTCTTTAGTGAATTAAATAAACTATTGAAATGAACATGATTAACAGTTTAACGAATGGTTTATGAAAGTATGTAAGTATGATTTGGATGTATTCTTACAACATCTAAAAGACAAATGATGAGATTCCTCAAATAGCTTACATGCCATGAGATCACTGAATTAGACGATTTGTAGTAACACCAGCTATATAAATGCACAGTGATTTTATGCGCAAGAAATTCTAGAGATTACATGACGTTTGAAATGTTACCAAACATTCATTTATAATCGAAGTTAATGATGATTCTGACTTATTTGGACTAAACTTTAAAGAAATGAGCAGAAGATACAAATGGTTTTCAGATGTATTCTATGTAAACATTCTGTTGTTTTCTTTTTTTATCATTACAAAAAAAGTTGCGACCATAAGTCAGTCAGTTACAACGTAAGACCAGGCACATATATGCATCGGTCCAAGTTGCCATATCGCATTAGCACAGCAAGACGAACACCGGATTCATAGAAGCCGTTAACTCAATGGTGTAATATATAAAGGAAAGATTACATATAAGGATATAATACAGGAAGAAAATTAGTTCGTAGAGAGAAAGATATGAAGTGATTTTAATCTTATAGTTTAAGGGAAGACAGGGAGTGTATACACCTACACCATTATGAACGATTTTCAGCCATGTCACCCACAGTCTCCAACCATTGGTTACGATAGTCACACGGAACCCAACCACGAACTCTGCATCTACCAACATGGCTCAGAACACAAGTTAGTGACTTCAAGCACTGATGCCTCGTTTTCGTTTATTTATTTATTTATTTCAACACATAGATATTGGCACAAAGAGGCACCAAATACATATGCGCCACACAAATTTCATTCGATATGTGTGAGGGCTGTGACACTGCACAAGTGCCCAAACCGAAGCAGGTGGTTTTCTTAGAGGGCCACACCCCGAGCCTTCGACTTGAAGGTCTGACCCACAAGGCAGTGGAGCATCGTAAGGAGATGCAGTCCTATGGAACCCGGTGACCAACAGTTGGTTCATACGCCATTTGTTCCCGCAGGATACTGGAGCCCATGTGCACCATTGGTTTGGAATCCGGTTAAAGCGCCGGACATTCGCTTTTCGTCCTCTCAATTTCGTAAACAACACCCCCGTCACGAGAAGGCAGTGAGTAGGACTTCCCTGGCAGAGGCTGTATACGCGTGGCCGTGCGAGAGTATTTCGAGAGGGAAAGCGGACTATCCCCACTCTCGGCCGTACCAGGGCATTTGGGGGCATTGCGCGTCGTGGTGATCGATGTTAAGACATATCTAACACGTGCCCAACCATCTCAGTCGATCAAGATTCACAACCTCATCAACTGACTTACCATCATTTCCTAATACCCTGCGTCTATACTCACTATTACTTATCCAGTGATCCCAGCAAATGCCAGCAATATTTCTAAGGCATCTGTGGTCAAATACTAGTAGCTTATGAGTATATTCTACTCTTAATGGCCACGTTTCGAAGTAGAACAGAACGAACTATTGCGCAATAAACTCGTCTCTTAATTGATAGACAGATATCTCGCCTTCGACATAGGTGACGTAAGTTGGCAAAAGCCAAACGAGCTTTTTGAATCCATCCTGAGATTTCGTCAGACACCAAGATAAGTGAAGTTGTCAACGCGTTCGACTACATCACTCCCTGTCCTTGGTTCAGGTGTTGACAAAGGCCAGTCCTGAAGCAACAACTTGCATTTAGAAGGGTAGAAATGCATAGCAAACCTCCTGGCATTGTTGCTCAGTGCTACCAAAAGACTTTCACCAAACACGACTATGTCATATGCGTATTCTAGGTCGATAAGTTGACGTCGTGGTAGGAGATCAATACTCGAGAATTCAGTCGACGAGAACGTTATTTCCATCAGTAGGTTTATGATGAAATTGGACAAAAATGGAGAAAGTGGACAGCCTTGACGGACACCACTTGAGGTTGCAAAAACAGATGACAGTTCACCATAAGCTTTGACTTCACTACTGGTGTTCGAGTAAAGAGCCTTCACAAGGTTTATATACTTCTGAGGTACACCTTTTAATGAAAGACGCTGCCACAGCACCTCTCGGTCTACAGAGTCAAATGCTGCTTTTAGGTCAAGAAAGACCACCAATGTCGGACACCGACAAGTATGCCTGTGTTCTAGGACCTGACAAATGGTGAATATGTGACCGATGCATTCACTTCCAGGCCTCAAGCCAGTCTGATTTCCATGTGTTTGCAGTTCACGAGTCTTAGTTAGGCGCCCGATAATTATTGAGGCTAGTATTTTAGATGTTATATTAGTTAAACTAATCCCTCTATGGTTGTTACAGGCCGAATTTGATTCCTTCGTACATATAGGGACAATAAGCGATTGCGACCAACTACCAGATTTTAGCTAAAATATTAGTCAACCTAATCGCTAAAATTGGACCACCATCCTTAAAGACCTCTGGAGCCAGTCCATCTGGACCAGCTGACCTTCCTCGTTTCAGATTAACTATAGCCTTTTGAACTTCAGCAAGAGTTGGGGGACCTACTTCAATGTTCCATTCACATTGTCTGGGAATGGAGGGTAGTTGTAGAGTAGCAGAAGGCCAGCTGAACTGTTCTCTAAAATGTTCCGTTCATCGTTCTAAACGTTTAGAATGAGAGCAGATAAGGGCATCGTCTCTTTTCAAGATAGCCTCACTTACACTTGACTTTTAAGTTCCAGTTTTTTTTATGAGTCTGAAAAGCTGTCTGGTGTTACTTACAGCCGTCGCCTTTTCCACCTCTTTTGATTCCGATGCCCATCACTGCTCACGGTCGTCCCTTAGACTTTTGCTTAACCTGGATCTGGTTTGTTTTCGCTCTTTATCGTGTTCAGAGCCTGACGGGATGAGTTTACGAGAATCAGTGCAATATACCTATAAGAAACCCATTGGTTTTTTGTAACCCTTTGGTTTAAATCACTAATAGACGTCACTGCTGTTTCCAAATCTTTCCAAGCAACATCTGGGTCAGCCTCGTTTTCAGAACTACCTAAGTGTGACCTCAGTTGTTCCTGGAATATATTTTCGGCATTCTTATCACTTAGTTTAATTCTAATGGGTCTTCTTCGTGTGGCTTTCCTGCGTCCAGTGAGACGCAAGCAGACACGTGCCCATATAAGAGCATGATCGGAGTCCAAACATGTATTCCAGAACGAGCGACAATCTTCCATCGACCCTCTCCAACGATGACTGATGGCAATATGATCTATTTGAATCCATCGTTGGTATGGTGCAGGGGGTCGCCATGTTAGACAATGTCTCTCCTTATGCTTAAAATTTGTGTTTGCTAAAAATAAACGATTGTCTGAGCACAGTTTCAGCAGGCGATCACCATTATCTGTTCGCTGTGCCGAAATACTAAAATATGCACCTAAATGTCTTTCTGTTTGGTTTAAGCTACCTACTTTGGCATTAAAGTCACCTCCTACGAGTACTATGTCTGAGCGTTTAGCTTTGTGAAGAAGTTCAGATAGCTTTTTGTAAAAGTCATCTTTCACTTCATCTGAGCTGCAGTCGATGGGAGCGTAGGCAGAAACGACAAAAAGGCAACGACGTGTGTCCCGATCCTTCCGAGTTCTTACGGAGCCGTTTAGCCGAACAGCACATAGACGACTGTTGACGGGGATCCACTCTAACAGTGCTTGTTCCGCCCACATGCTTAGTGCTATCCCTACTCTTGCCAGTCCACGAGAGCTGGCCATCGCGTCACCAGATACACGGAGGGTGTATCTCGTTGGCTCTCCGTGTTGCCGAGGTGAGGTCAAGTGAATGATCACACTGGGATCCTGTATGAGTGTTTCAGAGGCACAGCATACATCAATGGTACGAGATTCTAAGGTTCTAGCCAAGGAAGGCTGTTGACCGATTTGACATAGGGTGCGTACGTTGAAGGCTCTAATGTGTACTTTGGAGCGAGGTTTCAGTAGACCTGGGACAGTGTTTTGAGCACTAGAATCGTTGGCTATGGTGACATTTGAGGAGGAAGCCGAAAAAAGAAGTTTAGAGTTTGAAGTCGATGTAGGAGGAATAATAGGAAGTGAAGACGGAGGCTGATTATGAATACCGTGGTCTTGAGTGCTGTTAGAGATGTCAGGGTGATTATCACTTCCCGGTTGCCCACACCGTGGAAGGGTTCTTCTGGAGGTGCCTGAAGAGGAAATTGGATAAGAGGGGGTCTTAATGACCTGAGAGCGTGATCGCATTGCCCAAGGGACAACTGCTTGAGGTCGTTCACACACGACCTTTTTGTGAGTAATTTTCGTGTTAGCTCCGTACTTGTTGAGACTTTACCGCCTGAGACGGATATCCGTGGAATAAGGCGAGGTGTGTAGTTTTAGGATCGACCTTTTCTAACCCCACCCCTCCTTGTGGGAAGGCAGCATCGCTGTCATGCTGGTTGTCTGAAGGAAACACCTTACTGTTGTCACACCTCTGTACAGTCAGCAGTACGACTTCGCCTTTGGACCTTGGGTTTATTGCTTTTAGTCTTACTGTTCTTCAACCGACCTGTCTGACATGGTAGGACCTTGAGGAACGATTGTTCAGCCAGTATAGCTCGGTTGCTTCATCACGATAGGCAAGCCCGACCACCACGTCAAGGTAGCAACAACGGTCGTGGTTTGGGGGATTGGTTTAATTTGTAGATTGAGTACTATCCTATACCAGGGAAACCAGTTGTCTGGTACTTCTTAATTCTCAATGGTGCCTCAACTGAAATCAGTCTGTGATAAATAGAGACCTACTAAATCTTCTTTTTTATTTCAGGGTTTTAATTGTAAGCTGTTAATCAACCATGAGAAAAGGTTTGACAGTGTGGACAGGAGAACCTTACGAAACCTTCTTCGACACTATGGTGTACCAGAGAAAATCGTCAACATCATCCGGAATTCATACAACAGACCACACCGCAAAGTCGTGCACGGAGGGCAGCTGACAAACGCATCCCAGTTAAGGACCGGAGTTAGACAAAGATGCTTACTTCCCCCCCCCTTTCTCTTTTTTCTGGGGGTTGACTGGATTATGAAGACCTCCACATCTGAGGGGAAGAACGGAATACAATGAACAGCTTGCATGAAGCTAGATGATTTGGACTTGGCAGATGACTTAGCTCTTCTATACCATACACAAGTGCCAATGCAGGTAAAATAGTCAGTGTAGGATTATGGAATGCTACATACAGAGCACCAACAAAATCACACTTGGTAGAGAAGTTCTGGAAGGAGTCGAAGTCTCTACATACCTGGCCAGCATTATTGATAAACAACAACAATCTGAAGGCACAGACTGGTAAAGCAAAGACAGCAATTCTGCAATTGAAGAACATATGCAACTCAAAACAACTATCACCCAGCACCCAAGTCGGAATTTTTAATACACACGCCAAGACAGTTCTACTGTACGGAGCTAAAACTTAGAGAACTACCACAAACATCATCATCAATGATGTACAGGTATTTATAAACAGTTGTCTACGCAAGATACTAAATGTCCCTTGACTGGATACCATCAGCAACAGCTTACTACGGGAGAGAACAAACCATCTTCCAGCTGAGGAAATAAGGAAACGACACTGGAAGTGGATAAGGACACACATTGATGAAATCATCAAACTGCATCACGAAGCAAGCGCTAACTTGGAACCCTGAAAGAAAGCGGAAAAGAGGGAGACCAAAGAACACGCTGAACGGAGAATTGCAAGTAGACATCAAAAATATGAATAGCAACTAGAAACAACAGGATAGGATCACCCAAGACAGAGTTGGATAGAGAATTCTAGTGGGCAGCCTATGCTCCTCCACAAAGCGTAACAGGCGTAAGTAAGAAGTAATCAACTAAAAACTAACTATCATTACGAAAGACCATAATTCATTGTCATTACTACTATCATCCTCATCATTACCATTATACCAAATTAGTATGTTTTTTTAAATATTTGGAACTATAAATAACTTGATAATTACTGAAGAACAGCTTTGAAGTTAATGGTTTTTCATGTAATCTGCCTTCTTGTATTTCTGAATTCTGGATTAGTTACTTCATTGATGGAGAAAATTTAAACCGATATTAAGAAGCTGTAATAGATATTTGTTTCCTTTTTCTTTTACAAATTTCTGGGTCAATCAATCAGTCATAAGTAATATAGAATCCAGTTTATATGTGCATCAGATCAAGTTGTCATATAATTTTAGCACAGCGACATAAAATTATTTTCTTATACATAGGATAGTTTTTGATGAAACATATCGATCTATTCAGATTGTTTTTTGTTGACTTCATAATGTCGCTACTACACATCATATTGTAATCAATTGTAGTGCATCAAATATTTTTTTAAATGGACAGAAATTTCACTATATCTTACTTGAAAGATTTGATTCGTGTGACATGATAATCGGTACCATTTTCAAATACACTTTTTAAACTGTCGTCATCGATTGAGTCCGGTAAATTGGTAACATGTAATACTTTGGATGGAGCGCATATATTGAAATGATTACGAGAGTTGACACGTTTAAATCTATGCAATTTATGCCCAGTATAATCACATGTAGTTTTTATGTCATTTTCACCGTCAGATGTAGGATTTTGTAGACTGGTGTGTGGCATGGTAACAGTTGAATTTTTCGAAAGAACACAATGTATGGTTTTACCATACAATGGGACACCGTTTAAAAAATTCACAGCTGAAAAAAATAATGCAGGTGAGATAATTTAGAAGTGATCACTAACCGATATTACAAAAAAGGATTACAGGAATTAAATCCGTCTCTAGAAGCAGGACAATAACTTAGTGCGAAACGAATACATTATTGTATTTCAAATGTATGCAAACAATTGGTGGTTTTTATTCAATGCTATTATTTTACCTTATATATCTTTGTGAAGAAAGTGTGAGTCATTGGAAAGTAGGAAACCATGTTGTAGAAAATGAGAACTTTTTTAAATATCTCCCCGGAATATACGGATAGTAAAATATGAATAACAGATTTTAAGTGGAGAATTTCATAATACCTAATCATTTAACTATTTCGTGTAAAAATCCGCTCAACTGGATGGGAAGTTGGAATGTAAGGCACTCATTGTGATATTATGGAAGGTCCTGTGGGAGCCTAATTGAAGTTATAGATTGAAATAAAACGGCTGTTTAGTGTTATTCGCCTTTCAATGGTTCACCAGATGCCGAGGCAATTCTGTGATAAAGACCATTTCGTAGGTCAACCATAAACCGCATAGAACTCGGCACATACGTGCATTGGTCCAGGTTACCACATCATCATATCAAAATATATGATCTAGCTGACTAACCATTTGACAAAATGAATTATGATTATGATAGTTGAGTAATTTTGTCAAAATATTTATGTGAGTGAAAAGTTTGTGAATTTATGTTACTTGAGAGCTTAGGTTAAGCAAATCCAGAGAAGAACAGAAATTTTTTATTCAGTTGTTGGAATAATGTACACTTTATCTAAAATTCAAATTATTCCTTAGAAAGGAAGAACTGAACACTTATTCGATGAAAATCTAAGCGGTGAATACTTAAAAAAAACAGCATTTGATGCTTTATGGGAAACATGCATTAAATTTGAAAAATCCGAAGATTTCCCTTAACATAAAGAAATACATAATACTAAAGAAAAACCAACAATATTTATATACTGATGCAGTTATTTTTTTACATTGGGATTCTTACATTTGCCAACTTAGTGAGAACAAGTGCAAGTTTACGCATAATCGGAGCTTTAAGTTCCATTTATATGGTATTTGAGAGCTAGTGATGCTACTTAAACGACCGAACTGTTTAACAAGTGCAGTGGGGACTTGAACCTCTTTGCTAAGAGTTGGAAATCGAATGTTTTAATTACTGACTTATAGCTTTCAATTTTTAAATAAATAATTAATTTCAAAATTCGAAATTATAAGAAAAAACTAAAGAACATTCTGGACATGCACATTGTACCATGTAGAATATGTTATCTTTGAACAATAATTAGAACTACATTCGCATGTAATACTCCTTTGCAAAGTTATTTATTAAGCTTTATGGAATATCATTAGAAAAATCATGCATACCAGTATGTGTTCTGTTAAATTTAGTAAGAGTTTCTTTCTATGATTGAAGTTAATGTAAAATCTGACAAATTCAATAGTCAGTAGTCAGATAGTATAACCTTCCCCAAGGTCCATCGCAAAAAATAAAATCAACAACAGAATAAATAAACAGTAATAAATTAAATAATTAACCTCGAAGTGCTTGATTAGCATCTGTGAATTGAACCAGGGCGGTGCTTCTTTTATTGTGCAGGATTTTTACACGTTGCACATCCCCGTAAACACCTTAACAAAATTCAAAGTGATGTACGCAAAACATCAAAAATGTATAAGGCATAAAAAGGTTAATTTTTAATGGATGGGAAAAAGATATAAAATATAAAATACCTAAACATCATTTGATAATCTGTATGAAGATACTAGATAAATTCCAAAATTCTTCCTATCAAACAAACATATATCTGAATAGTGTGGTAAATGGAAAGGCAACACACATCCTAATTATATTCATAGCAATTTAATGCGACGCAATACTTATACGCATAATAGAAACAATTTGATCAGTGTTGCTACACCAAACACAACATATATTGGAGTTTCCATACAAACTATTCTTTTAGCTAGTTTAATGAGATTTTTTTCTTGTTTTACAAATAACAAACTATGAATTGTAGCCAAATTTACAGTTCACTTATCAATTATAATCAAAACAATACTATAGTCATTTAAAAAAATGACCCTAATTAAGGTCCACATAAGCATACATATATATGGAGGCAGGATAATCTTACCAAAAAGTATGAACAATGTATCCGGATTGACTTTCTTTTGCAGGATGATGATGATAGTAATGATAGATGGATATAGAAATGGACCATGAACAGATGGAGAGAAATGTTTTGTAGGATAGCCATAGGAGATCATATATATAAAGTGAGATATATACATATACATACATAAAGATATGGAGGGAGAGAAAGAGACAAAGACAGATAGCAGTTGTTATATATGTATATTTTTATACAGAGAGTAAGTTAGTGAAAGCAAGGGAAAGTTATATGATGTAGAGAACAATGTATCTATCGCAACCTTGTCTGACTAATTAGTGCTTACATTTGAGCTAATTTGGAAATGGAAAGATATATTTAAATATGGGTAATATGACAAATCAGAGTACTTTTATCTTGCTTAAAGGGAAAATAATACAAGTACTTCAGATTAATGAGGATGGGGATCTCTGTGGTAAAATAAATTAAGCATATGGGTTTCGTTGAGAAGCTGCCAAACAAACAAGGCACCGACCACATATCGATCAAATTATTCAGCTAACAGCAACGATAACAACACTACATCTTTTCATACTATGTAAATACATAAGGAAATAATACTCTTCAACAAATGAAAAAGAGTAACAATACATTACTAATGAAGTAAGTTGTTAAACTTGGCAAATTTGCATTTAGAAGAGATAAGTAGAAAAGTATCAAATATCTGGGTATATAGAATTAAGGAAGCATTTACAGGGTAGTGTTATCCATTTTATTGATTATACAAACTAAATTATCTTTGTATTATGGCTTTACGGCATAACGAAAGTATGTACACCCTTGAATGGAAAATCCAGACTTATTTAACCTTTAATTGAGTGTTACATAGTTCATGGAATATTAAAGCTTATCAAATGTTCTACGTGGTATGTTTTCAACAATAAAAAAGATAAATAAATACTCAATAATAAGAACATTAACTCACCTCAGTATTTAAATTCGATACAAAAGCAACTGGTGAGAAAGGAACTGAATGTCCTGTAAGATGAGAAGTTTCTTTAGCCGGTAGATTTGGAATCAAAGGCCAAGGTAATGAATCATGATTTCTATTTTCAGATATCAGAGAGGTAAGACTAGACAGTGTTGTTGCTTGTGCCCTCAACAGATTAGCTTGTGGACCAGATATACTTGCGGCTACTTTCACTATAAAAAGTAAACAGAAAGTTAGGAAAACATGCAGTTAATTGTAGATCAGAGAAAGAATGAAATGACTTACATATTACTTATATATGCCTGTTACTCCCAGTGGGGCTTAGGCTGCCGACCAGTATTCTCCAACACAATCTGTCCTGAACCTTCCTTCCTAGTTCTATCCAATTGTTCTCCATTCTTCTCATGTCTGTCTCCATTTCTCAGTCTAATGTGTTCTTTGGTCTTCCTCTTCTCCTTTGACCTTGAGGATTCCAAATGGGGGCTTGCCTTGTGACGCAGTTGGATGCTTTCCTCAATGTGTGTCCTATCGACTTCCAGCACTTCTTCCTCTACTGGGATCTGGTTTGTTCTCTCCCATAGTAGGTTGTTGCTGACAGTGTCTGGCCAACGGATCCGAAGTATTTTGCGCAGACAATTGTTAATAAACAATTGTATCTTCTGGATGATGGCTTTCGTAGTTCTCTAAGTTTCCGCTCCATACAGTAGAACTGTCTTGACATTTGTATTGAAAATTCTGACTTTGGTGTTGATTGACAGTTGTTTTGAGTTCCAGATGTTCTTCAATTGTAGAGATGCTGCTCTTTCTTTGTCGATCCGCGCCTTCACTTACATATAAAACTCATTTAATTAAAACGACACGATTTAATCTTAAAGATGAGTGATTTTTATTGTAAGAATTCTTAGCTAGTAAGCTCATATACATATAATAGTGAATTGTAGGATAAATTAAAATGTAAGCTAAACATGTGAAAACAAAAGATGAATATGGATATGTTTAGACAATAATGAAACATTCTAACTATTACTAAGGTGAGACTTTCATAATCTCAGTAAGATGTTAGATACCGATAAACCAAATATAAATTCGTAACAAATGAGCGCTGGAATCAGTGGAATTAAACCGTATCACATGTCGTTATTTAGGTATATCGAGTATTATTTACTGAGCGAAAACATTGTCAATTTGACAAGCATCAAATAAATTGGAATGAAAATACTATGCGCTAGTAAAGAAAGCATCCTTTATCAAGGTTACTCTACTACTCCTAAAACCTTAATTCTGAACACGTCTAAAACCATTATTCATTAAAATGAATCACTATTTCAAGTTGATAATTGTTAACATACGTAATTGAAAGGATTCTCCAGAAGTCGTTTAATTTATTTAGTTAAAGTACATAGATGCCATAATTGATACATATGAAACAAGCCCACCTTAAAAAAGTTGAAAAAACGGCTCAAAATATCGTGATATTTTGTTACACTTCAACCAAAATGTAGAATGTATAGTGTTTGGTTTAATGAATCACTATTATGCTTTCTGTCAGAATGATCGATTCGAAATGATTCTAACGTGTTAGCTAGTTGTTTATAACCAGTCCGAATTTGTGGCTAGTTCCAGATGATATTAGGAATTTCCCAGATATCTTCTATAGAAACACATTTTTTACCTTTGTATGTTGGTCCAATATCGGACTTGTACAAATATTTCACGATAAACGGTAGTACATATTAAACTCTATAATAATAAAACAAAACGACATTGTTAAACGATAGAAAACATACATAACGGTTTGATAAGTCGATTAGCCAAAACACTTAAAAATACTGGATCCATAGTTGATAATTTTTCTTCACTAAAATCATCCCATTCATCTTTGACAGAAGGAAGAAAAGCGTGGAAATTTTTGGTCCCATTTACTACACTTGATGATATGTGATTATGATTCAACTCATCTGATTCGTTCCATGGATTTTGAATAAAATCTCTACAACTATTATCTTCTCGGTGAATTTCTAAAGTTGGTTGCCTTGAAAATTCAGTACGAAGAATGTTAAAATTACTCTCCATAGGAAATAACGGTACACCATTCATTTGCTAATATTTATGACAGGATAAGAATGTATTGAACATTACGATGTGTAAACAACCAAAAATTTAATTTGTTAGATAGAATGTTAGTTAACAGTAAAAATTAATTAATATAAGTAGCAAAACATATCTATTGAACATGCAGTGCGCTGGGAAGGTCATAAATTATCTAGCTGTTTCATTTTGTAATAATAAAGGTGTTTTCTTTTGAGATTTATTTGACCGAATCTACTGTAAATTCTAGTCATGAACGATCAAGATTTTCCTAATATAAAAGACAACTAACGTGAACTCGACAATACGGCAACTGATAAATACAACCTTTCAACAGTAATATTCAAGCGATAAAATCCAAGAAGGCAGAAATGAAAAAGTCTTGATATTCGACGAGAACAAAATTGAAGTCGAACAACTCTGTGTTTATAGCATCAAAGCATGAACTTAGGGTAGAGGAAAATTAGTAAACTAAAGGTCGTATCAAACGACCAGAAAAAAGTGCAGGTCGGATAGAAATATAGATTAACAAAAATGTACTCGAAGTTATCTTTACAAGAAAGAATGAATATTTATTAATAAAAATTAGATAGTCTGTAATATCTCTGGAGAAATGATAGATCAAACGTGCACACATTTGGGAGTATGTTAAATTTATATTATTCCATTAACGTTCACCATTATTTGATTTCTTGTTATTGAATTTAATTTGCTGATTCTACAATGAAAAGGTCATAATCGTTGCTACATAAACAGGGTTGCTCTAATACAGTTTTGAATTCTGTTGAGAAATAAAAAAGCTTTCTTGAGGGACTCGTTTTCTTCCTCTCTCTAGCTCTCCCTTATTCACATGTAGATTACTAGCGTTGGAATGATATGGTATATTAGTGATTTAACCTATCTGGTTAGAACATCCAGTTTTTGCACTAAAAAAGCTCGTAATCGTTCGTAATTACTAGAAACTATTGAAAATTATTACTGAATCACAACAAATGAGTCTTTTGGTGAGGGACTGGACAACTCTTTCGTCCCAGTTTGAGATGCCTCAGTGGTATACATTCAAAACTTCAAATCCTGAACATAGAAATTTTATGGATATTCACCATAATACCAGTGAGTTGGCATTTAATCGTTCAGTTTTAATTTAAGTTGATCCATGACATTGCAAAACAATCATCCTTTGACCCAAACAATGACACCTTTGTCACTCAATCAGCCAAGACTTCTCATTAGAACTCTTGGGATTTCTTTATGAAGTTGGTCATTAGTAAACATAAGATTATTAATAGTAAGAGGTTTGCTGAGATTCTTTTTGACTTGTAGTTTACATCACGGACTGACCAGAACTAGATAGTTTTTGATTGTTACTTCGTATAGTGTGTAACAATATACCGGCGGTTTTCACAACATTTAGAGAAACTAGATTATTGTAACATGTAAAAAAATGATTCTCGTCAATTGAATCTTTACTGTAATTCTTGAAATAAAGCTGGGTACGAAACAGTAATATAACAGGAAGTAGATTTCGTCAGAATTCTGTATACGATATAACAAGGAAAACACATTGTTAGAGATTCTACATACGGTAAAATTTAAAGTATGAATGGGTGTAAATACATAGGTACAGCCAATTTTTATATAAAACAATACACATTATGTCATAAGTGTGTATCAATAGTAAAGATGATATGCATAAATCATAAGATAATTCTTGAAAAGCAACCCACTCACTAATTTAGCAACGTGAGCTGATATAGTATTGCTGTATTCTAAAAACGCATGACGTGAGTCGTTTTTCTTGAATGATATCACACGTAGAATTTGTCCGAACGGTTTAAATGCCTAAAAATATAATGCATTTGTCGATTAAATCAACTGAAATAATTAAACTAGTGGTAATAGAATAATAAAGCAAACGAATGTGAGACGAAAAAACCCCGAAAGTAACTAAGAATAAAATAAACTCGTTTATTTGCGACTTTAAAAGTTTGTATGAGTAAACTACATGAATAATTGATTAGCAATGAAGCAAACTGATATAGAAACGACTATAAATAGTGAGTTCAACATTCAATATACAATCTACCTAAAATAAAACTCAGTTTAAATAGTGTTTCTTTTTAAATATTTCTACAGAAGTCGATAAAAAATGTCAAAAGTTATAAGTTAACTACTGGTTTAAAAAACTTCCCAGGTCACCTTTTACTCGTTTTCCTACCTGAGTGGACCTACGCATAAGACATCGAATTTGCTATCCCCTGACAATGGCAACCAGCACAGAGGTCAGCTTAGCCTAACTATGTGTCAGCCCAGGTCATCGTATCACATTAGCACAGTGAAGAGAATCGAGAAGGAGTTATTATATTAACGGTATTAGTAACAGTGAAATATTGAAAATGTACCGAAAAGGTATGTATGAAGAGACACTGAGATCGAAGATCTAAAGAGGAAACGAAAAGTGAATTGATTTGTGCGGTGGATGAACATAGGTAACAAGTGTTCCAGCTTTACTTACAATGCTTGTGAATTAAGGCAATATTGACTCAATGCGCATATATGACAGTAAAGACTGATCAGTTGCAGTTCTACACATCAACGTGAAGATTCAACTAAACAATAACAAGTGACAGATATTTCCCATATAAACATTAAAAATAAAAAGCACGAAGTTCAGCAAAGGGATACCTTTTCAACGAATTTATTGTCAAGATGTACAATCGTAGATATATGAAGTTTTTTGTTAAAGTACTAATTCCGTGAGGAAATGTGAACACAACCAAGATAATGTAATAGAAAGATTATAATACCAGATTACGTAATACGAACAATAACAATAGATTTAGTGAATGTAATAAGATGACTAAAATGTTTTTGTTACAATAGTTAAAGGTCACAGAGGTGTAAAAATAAATAAGGTGATATGATGAGTATTTATAAATAAAATAATGAGAATATAAGGTATAAGTAAAAGGGAATGCAGTAACAATAATAATAATAATAAAGGCCAAGGTAACGATAAGATGTGCTTCTTTGTACGCATAGTTTTGGTTTGAGCTTATGGATGGTAAGAGCTTCGGCTATTTTTAGGAGTTGGATACGAAGAAATCTAGGTAGATTTGAACGAATCATATAAGCAACCTTAAAATCAAACTGTGGATCCGTAGGATGATTACAGTCGATTAGGTGTTCAAGTATAGAATTCCTAAGTGCTTTTCTTTCACCTTTGTAGAACCAAACTGGGACATGTTCCCGTATCCAAGTTGAAAGCGAGCGCCGGCTACGGCCAATGTACCTTGCTCCACAAGAGCAGGTGAACTGGTAGGTGCACATGGAGGCGACCAGACACGGAAGCTTATCTTTTTTGGATACAGAAAATAAGTTCCTACTAGAGAAGGTTATTCGCAGTTTTGCCGCATTAAATGTTCTTTTAATCGTTGTCGTTAGACGATTTTTGATTACACCAGTATCACAGCCCACACACAAATGATGAACTCTTTATGTCTATGGAAATTATTTTTCTCGCTTCGAAAAACAATCAATTGATTCAAATTATTATCATTACAATTATTGTCATTATTAATACTATTATTATTATTACCATTATTATTATTATTATTATTATTATTATTATTATTATTATCATTATTATTATTATTATTTACCACATTGTTCACCCTCTTTTATACTTATACAGCGGCTCGTCTTTGGTGAAAATTCGACTGTATCTAAACCTTCTCGAGTCACTGTCCGGTTGAAAATTGTATGTTACCACTGAATATGAGTACTGAAGCAGTTTTTCTGAAACCACGTGCATCATTCAAACTGGCTGCCTTCAACGTTCGTACACTTATGCAGGTCGGACAACAGACAGGGCTGGCTATGTCTTTGGAAAGTCTTAATATCGATGTCTGCTGTCTATCCGAGACCCGTATTCAAGACTCTGGTGAAATACTACAAATTCGATCTCCATCTGTCGCTTCGAAAAGCTTGTTTTACGTGCGCTTATCCGGGGACCCTGTGGCATCTTCGTCTATACTCGCTGGCGTTAGTGTCGCACTAAGCGCTAGAGCTGAGGCAGCACTAGTCCATTGGATCCCCATTAACAGTCGGTTATGTGCTGTTAGATTAGAGAGTTCCATCAAAGTGAGAAGAAATCGACGTGAGAAGCGATGTCTCTTCGTCATCTCCGCCTATGCCCCGACAGATTGCAGCCCGGATGCAATTAAGGATGAGTTTTACCACCAGTTATCTGTTCTCCAGAAAGTGCGTTCGACAGATATTGTAGTACTAGCCGGAGACTTGAATGCTCAGGTCGGGCGTCTAGGCACAGAAGAGAGTCGTTTAGGTGGCCGATGGGGACTTGTTGGTCGCAGGTCAGATAACGGGGACCGTCTACTGCAACTGTGCACAGACCACAACCTGTTTCTGGCTAGCACTAACTTTCGGCACAGTCATCGCCGATGTACCACCTGGCGTCCTCCCTCTGGACTCAGATCGATCACGTCGCGATCAGCTACCGCTGGCGTGGTTGTGTACAAGACTGCCGCTCCTTTTGGAGTACCTATCTGGACTCTGACCATGCCTTGGTCTGCGCCAATCTTGCCTTACTTTTCAGTGGCTAACGGAGTGACCACCACCAAAAGATTGATGTTAGCAAGCTGGTTGCAACTTCTGTTGCAAGTAAGTATCGAACCGAGCTAGCGTCTAGGCTAGCTACCACTCCACCGAAAAGTATAGATGAGCATTGGTTGCAATTGCATGACGCCATGAAAATGGCGGGAACAGTCAGTTGTGGGTTTGCGAAACGTCCCGCTTTTAAGCACTGGGTTTCTTCTGGTTCCCTACAACTCATTGAAGCCCGTCGGTCTACTCTGGGTGACCGTGAGTTTGACCATAAACGAAGGATGTTACGTACTGAAATTGGGCAAAGCTTGCGTAAGGACCGAGAAGCCTGGTGGTCGAAGCGTGCTAATGAGTTGGAAGCATCAGCTGCATCTGGTAACTACCGGAAGCTCCTCCAGCTCATCCGAGCCACTGGCAGCAAGAAGTCTGGTGTGAGTGAAACAATCTGCGAGGATGATGGGATGCCAATCACTAACATCCATCGACGTCTTGGACGGTGGGCAGAATTTTTCGAAGGGCAGTTCAACTGGCCTGCTGCTCCGGCAACATCGGTCAGACTGTCCTGCCCTCCATGGCCGGTGATGACTGATCCACCAAATGAGGAGGAAGTCCGCAAGGAACTCCAACTCTTGAAGCGTTACAAATCACCTGGCCCAGATGACTTACCTCCGGTTCTTTTTAAAGATGATGGTGACTTTCTGACTAAGGAATTGACGACGCAGAGAGGAGGTCAGTGCATGACATGGTGTCGTAGCATGAAAGAAAGCTGCAAATGACTGGCTTCTGTTGGTCCTTCACGACTCCCTGGTTGGGGTCCGAGAGATGGTGCTACACAGTGGCTAGAGACGTTATCAGATATGGCTCAGAATAGAAGCCAGTGGCGATCCTGCTGTAACCTTCCTTTACTTTCTTCATAAAAAGTGGTTGTGTCTCCCTTACCTGAAAGATTTCTTCTGATTGTACCTTTCCGTTCCCTCATTATTACTACACTACCTTACACCAATCTCTTCGTTGTTGTTCTTTTTTTACGCTCCTTACCTTTTTTTCTCTTCGAATTCTCATTGTTTTGTGTGGCGCATATATATTGGCGCTCTCCCGTACCAATATTTATGTGTTCAAATAAATAAATAATAAATAAAAACCAGTTAGGCGAATCCACAGACACAAGTGGCAGTTATCGCAAAGGCGTTTTAAGAAACAAAGTAGAACATACCATAAAGAATGGAAGATAACCGATTTCCATGGAACCGTGTAACTTTTCGATGTGAATATGCAGAACAGTTTTAGGAGAATCTTCATTTTCGCATTGAAATGTTACAAACTGTTTATTAGCTTCCTCGACAGCAGATGTAGCAGCATTATTAGCCATTGCGTTAGTGAGAGAAGAATATTTACTAAACTGCACTTCTAGGGGATACTTTCCACGTAAAACCGGAGGACATATGGCTGTATAGTAGCCAAACATAGATTCTGCTGACTCCAAAGTATCCATTTCAATTAAAGCCTGTAATAATAAGGTTGGAGGTTAAGAAAATTAGATTGTAGCTGAGGTATTTGCATAATAGAGGAAACAATATTTTAGTTTTACTGAATATCTTTACTGATGGAATAAAACAATTTCCTCACATTAACAGGTCACTGGAAACATATTAGGTAAGAGCAATACTTATTTAATAGATTCAACTCATTCAGCGGTCATAACATCAATATAAGCTTTCGGTGAAACTTTTCTGTAGTACATCCTAAAATTATATTGTGTGAGGGTGGCACGGCAGTCATTATGATAAAACTTGGTCAGTAACTATTTGACTATAGAATAATGAATGTGTAATCTGCCTTATTCATAACGATTATTTTAAGACTTTACAATTGACAATCCAATCAAACTGTTACCATTTGAGCGCGGAATTCCCAAAAATATCACTTCCAAGTTTTGACACATATCGTTTTATTTGAACAGTGTGAAAAATTGGAATGTGAAATTAATTTCAAGAAGTTACTAAAAAGGAAGACATTTCAATCAACACATCTTTATATGGATCAATAATTAGTTAAGTATCTATTATATATGCTTCTTATCACCTGTTACTTTATATCATCCATTCACTTTCATATCGCCTTTCAAAGTGAAACTAACTACTTAAATAACAAGTAGTTCGTATTATTAAAAAGAAACAAGATGTAATGAACAATAATCTGTATAAAATAGCCGTTATAACTGTTGAGAGAGTAATTCTTAACTAATGATGACAGTATGTATGGAGTTTCATGAAGTAAAATGATGAATATTCGATTAGGAACAATTAGAAAAAAGTGATTCCCATTAATCATCCACACTAGTTATTATTCGTTTGTTTTCTTTCCTAAAGATAAGACAACATGCAATGTAGAATAACGTACATCGTGTAGACAGCTAACTATCAATGGCTCAAAAATTGCCTTTTGATTCATTTTTCTCAGAAACATCGCACTCTGATCGTTGGAACTTCATATGAATACGCTTTTGATAAATTTAGCGCAGTTCATTCTTATTTTATAAATAAAATTGATAAGCGTAACGCTCTGATAATCATGAGGAAATGAATAGTACAATTCAACATATCTTGAAAGAATAGAGACGAACGTACAAGTTGGACTAAATGTTATGACTGCCTCTTATTAAGCAACTAGTATGTTTGAAATGAAACGGTAGTTTATGAAAAGCGTTAAACCCAATAAAACATACTTGACCATTTTTTCTTGTTAGTATTATATTGGCGATTGAGCCAAATGGTATAGATAACGTTGAAACTTCTAGTTCATTCACATCGGATGGTAAGCCACGGATGTGGAGAACACGAGATTCCGGTAAGGAATTTGATGATGTACTATCTAACCTTGCCTGTAATATCATAACAAATAGTAATAATAGCAAGAATAAAAGATTATCGACGCAGTTTAATGTTTTGTTTAAAGGATGATACTTTCATTTTGTATTTGAAATTTCCCGAAAACAAATGAAAGAACACAAGTGTAGTAACAGTTATCAATTTTCTACCTGATGGGAAAGTTAAAATCGTCTTAACTGTGTTACAAGATATCGGCTAGTGTATTTTCTACTCTATCGTTGACATTCCATTTTATTTCTAACAAACAATGAGGTGGCGTGATCTCGTTAATTTGATAGAACTAGCACAAACGAAATATAAGTTTTACTTAAATATACAGAATATTATCATGACAATAAAAAAGGAATGCATTAGTATATTGAGAGCAAAACCTTACAATTAGTTATTGAAAAATCAAGGAAACGGTTGGCATTTCCGATTATGTTGATTTAATATATGCACTCTGGATCAATGAACTACAACTATAACATGAAATACTCTCGAAATATTAAACTTGGCTTACTAAAACTGTAATAACTAACCTTTTTTGATTCAAAACGACTGGGGTCAACTACAGTTGGGACTTCAGTAAGGACTCTCTGAAACCGAAATAGAAAATCATTAACTTGTACGAATTCAACAGTAATGATTTATAATTTTTGAGGAATACAATAAATCTAGCCTTAATCCCACGTATATTGATCACTATTAAGTTACACTGGTATGTAAGACTGAATAATTTGCGAATGTACTTTCCAAGTGTAGGCAAGTGGTTCAGTGGTTAAGACGTTCGACTTTTAAGTGATGTTTCAGACTCGATCTCCACTCCACCTGTTCGGGTTTGGGCCGCCGAGTTGTATCACTAGACCTCATAATTAATGTATGGTTTACGTGGACCGCGTAAAAGCGTGGACAATGACCTGGTAAGAAAGCCATCCTCTGAAGGTATTCGCTCAAACTTTCAAAGTTTGTTTATATTGCGAACTCGGAAGACTACCTGATCCTGCTATTTTTTTGAAAATGAGAAAGATTTACGAAGTGACGTAGATTCATACAATGGTGTTCTTATATAAACTACTGCACTTAGTGGTCAAGGAAAACTATACAAAAGTACAAAAGTAACAATAAGACACCGGCTGAGAAAGGGATTTTCAGGAAAAATCAGATAACTCATAAATAATAATACCGAGGTTACCTTTTCATTTGTTGGTAGTGTGCTTAGTGAAAGTAAACTTAAATGATAACTAAACGGGACTAACGAAGAGTACGCGAACTGATCTTTGCAAAGCATTTCGTTTTCATCCCAACTTCGAATATAGTTATCTGGAAAATCTGTACGAGAAACTACATTGATGATGGACTGAAATGGGAGAGCTGAAGTCAAATTCGCGTTTGAAGGCCAAGTTTGGTGGGACGAAATGTTCATAAGGAAATAAATCTAACTGAATAAACAGTAGTAGCCAAACAATATTAAGACAAGGGACAAAGTATTTGCTTACATTTGATTGGTCGATAAGATTAAATTCATCAGGTAAACTGTCTGCAAGATGACCAATCAGTGCTATGTAACATGAGATGAAGTTAAGCAATTCTCTTATCAAAACTACCCTATGCCATTTCTAGAAAAGCTTGTATGTTCAATTACTAATTGAGGAATATTTTTCACATGTTACTAGCTATGTAGCCTATTTGCAATATATGGATATGGAGAATCCACCTGGGGGGGTTTGGGGACCCTGATTTCAAAACCAGTGGTGCACATGGGCTCAAGGATCCTCAGGGAACAAATGGCGTACGAACTTATTCAGTCAGTCAGTAACAACGTAGAACTTCGTACGTACGTACATCAGTTCGAGTTGCCACACCACATTAGCACAGAGATGTAGTTGTCGATTCAAATCTCGTAGTGGTAGAGGTAATAAGAGTATAAGCAGTAATCAGGAAGATTAGGGTTTGGAGATGTTATTTAAAGAATATAATCCAGTGAAATAAATTTGGAAAGAGGAAAAAGAAAGGGACATGAAGATTTCAGAAGATTAGAATTTGGGAGAACACAGAGAGTGGATGCACCTGCGCCATTGCAAACGATTTTGAGCCATGTCATTCAGGGTCTCTAACCATCGGTTGCTATCATCTCGTGGTTTCCAACCAGGTAGTCTACACCTACCAACATGACTCAGTCCACTTGGTCATCGACTACCATAGGACTGCCCCCCATAACATTGCTCCACTGTCTTGTGGATTAGACCTTCAGGTCAAAGGCTCCAGGTGTGGCTCCCTAAGAAAACCACCTGCTTCGGTTTGTGCACCCGGGCAGTATCCCAGGCCTCAGACAAGTCGAACGACGAAGTGTGGTGCATATACAATTGATGCCTCATACCGATGTTTAAGTGATTAAATAATGGAAATAAATATATGACAGTTCAATTTAAAAAGCATAAAATTCACTATATCATCTGAGAATTTAGACTTAATGTCTGAGGTTCGTTTATAAATGTTTGACGACAGAAAAGCAAAACTCAGTCTTCCAGACGTGGGACGAAATACACAACAAAACTGCCAATTCCGTAAAACCAATATGTGTAAGCTGTTTAAACCAAATGGGAAAAAAGCAGGCATTTTGTTGATAACACTACATATTTATAGCGACAGACAAAGGACTAGACAGCGGGCGTTCCTCTTGGAATAAATGGATGTTTCACAATCTAAACACGGCAACATCTAGGATGAACCATAAAGTATAGAACATTTGGATACCAAAGAAGCGGCTTGGTAAGTCTTGCTTTCGTCGTAAGGACGAGTAGTACCCAAGCATACATGTCAAAAATGACATCCTCAGATGATTTTTACTAATGATACAGACCATGCAGGGAGATGTAAACTTTCTGACTGGAGCAAGCGCAAGTTGCAATCAGTGGTTGAAGATTATGTGGCAGGGTCCGGAAATAATCAGTTGAACAGCAGATTAAAATTCTCTCAAGCGAAGTGCTAATCCTTAATACGGATTCCTTATATCATATCATGATGCAACGTATGGTGATTATACGACGTTCTACTAAGACGAAAACATAGAGCCCAGGGAAATCAGGCAGAAAATTTCTTACTTTAGTTATCATGTCGTGTTAGATTAATCAAAGATGCAGAATGTGAGTAGAATGTTACAAAGAATGTTGTCGGTGATGCAACTGATTGGTGAGACAATTTCGATTCGTAAAATGGATAAAACGGATGCTAGTTAATAAACACTTTGCAATGATGCGATATGTTGAGAAGCGGTCGCTTACGAGGATGAATAATCTGTTTAAGAATTCGAAACATCTGGAGCCATGTAAAACTAACCAGAAGAGTGGGTCTTCTGTAAAGAAATGACATGGATGTACACAAATTATGGACATAGAAAATAGCATGATAAAATCCCTTAGGTGATTGGAGGATACTAGTACGTAGGTCACTCTTCAATTAGCCAAGACCTGACGGCTAAGCCCAACTCTTGGGCATTATATCGGAAACGCTATAACTTACTATACGTCAAACCAATTTAATGATTTGGGCGCTAAACTGTCGCCACTATGTGAATCCAGCAATAATTTACTAAAAACTGATTTTGTGAACAACTGAGGCTTAACCACAGAAACCGGTCGGAATGCAATGATGTAGATGAAGTTGGATTGATTTTCTTTATCCAGACGTTTCTATTACCGAATAAATAATTAGTACATCAGCCATGATAATCTGTAACCAACCTACATAATTTGTTGTCAAATATCAGACCTGAGCTAAAAGTAGGGGAAAAACTAGACTTAAATGAACGCGAATTCCTCTGAGTGACTGAAGCTAATACAAAGTTTTCGAAGAGAAGCTTGATGACTATGTCCCAAGAACATGACGGCTTAGTATTTTAAAGATACTGAACCCAATCTCCCTATCCTGCGGGAAATTTTGTCCGTTTTGGAACTTTGGGGAAATTGCACAAACCCCCCAAAATCTTCTCGAGTTCGGGGGAATTCTCCAGAATCTTAAGGTTCCTCAAACTGACGATTGTCACTGGACTTTGTGGGAAAAGCCGAGGATCTCAGAATCAGGAGATTGCAACCATGTTTCCATGGGAACGTGCAGCAATTTGCTGTTTCCACCCAGTCGATTTTGAAACATAATGCATATAACTTTTGCTGCGCTTAAAAAGACCACCATTTTGAAGTAAATCATCCTCAGTAACTTCAACCGAGAGCGAACCTGCTTCGTTGTATCATGCCGCTTCATCGTCGTTGGTAGCGTCAAATTTCTTGGTATAAATGGCCAAGACTGAGTGACTCAAGGTCTTTTAATATCCAATTTTGTACAACATCAAAAAAATTAAAATAGGTCTGAAAAGCACTTTTTCGATGTTCTAGTCTGATTTTATGGCTAAAGGATTTTTAAATATATGAGTGACTGTATAGGATTCTTCTAAATCTGCCTCTCAGTAGTCTGATGTTTATATTGGCTGGCAGAGAATGGAAGAAGACTCAATCCTGTTGTTTAACAGGCACGAGTGTTGGCAGTTGTTGGTCTTTTGGTGAATGAAATTTGATAACTGCTGTGTTGGTTGCCATTATGACTTTCTGTTGGATCAACATATCGTGTAAACCATATTATTTAATGGGCCTTCCATACCAACTAAATACCTCGCTCACAGACTTTGTCACTGTTTGGTTTAATAATATGATGTGGGGTTTGCTGAGTTTCGAAAATAAGTTGTTTTGTTGTCGCTGATGGCTTCACCCATTTACAAGGGAACGAAAACCCAAATTTCTTACAATGTAGCTTGCCCCATATAAGTGTAAAGATGCAGCAAGTTTTCGCAGTTTGACAACGCCTTTACCCCCATAAATGGATTTTATCTTAGTCAGACATGTATGCAGATGCTAACCATATTCTCTTGAAGTTAGAACTCAGAGTCACGCAACTTCTGAGCTTTGGTGTTAGACACGTAGATCACTAACGTAGATGACCTATTTAGAATGATTGGGGACCTGCCCCAGTTAAAGGGGAATGGTGTGACCGACAACTAACTTCGACATCACGCCCCAATATGAGCACTTAACGTGAATTACCCCTTCGTCGTATCAAGGTACTATGGCTGCTTTGAAGACCGTAAAACACAAAGGAGATTATCAAGGAAATATATTGGCAAAAGTGGGTACAAAGGAGATAGTCCAACCACCACCGTATAGACCAATCCATTGCGTGCAACCTACTGATGAGCGTTGGTTGTTCTTGACCATTACGGTGATCGATGAACTGTTCAACATTCAGTGACCCAACTGCCGGATGATTTGAATAGGTATGAAAATTTCAAGTGTAGCGGTAAATAAATCCCCAAAATAAATAGCTCTGTAAGTTTTCGACATTGGATGCTGACCACATGTTTTAATGGACTCACCTAGCTGAAGGCGCTCGGTCATGCATCCGCACCAGATCACGAGTGGGAAAGCCGTGCTCAACATCTACTACAATCGCTAGCCAGATTAGATCAAACGATTCTCAATATATTGACAGTCAACAAATATATCTCCCGATCTTCTCGATTCTGTCTTTTGATTTCTCTTTGTGGGTACGCTTCATATTAGAAGGTGTTACTGGTTAAAGCGTTGTCAAACACTGAATACCTGTGCCATCTTCATAAGTATTCGGACCAGGAATCCCTGAAATAGCGCAATATGAGTAGACAGAACTAGGTCAGTACCAGATGCGTAGCATTTCCTGACGAACAATCGAAACAAAATCTAAGACTGCAGGAGATTTAAAGTCCAAACTCACTGTAAATTTCTGGCATTCGTATCCTATGTTTGATTATGGGACTCAGCAATTAAGAATTAGTCAGGCAGTGGTCGAATTAGTAAAACATCTGCACTCAAGCAGCCCAAGAGAATATTTTTGTACACAAACTACAGAACAAGGATGCATCATTGGATTCCCAGCCGAATTAAAGAAGGGAGTGAATCTGAAATGGTAGAGGAAGATCAGGAAAAAGCAGAGGCTATGGCTGACTATTTTGGGACAGTCTTCATTCTGGAACCTCCTCTAGACAAAGAACCAAACCAAAATAAACAGTTAACAAACCACCTGCTCACCGTGGACTTCGATCAAGACGATGTTTTTAAGACTCTTAACACCTTAAACATGAAAAAGTCAACAGGACCAGATGAACTACACCCCAAAATCTTGAGAAATATTGCATAATATCTCGCGGCCCCACTGACTGTGATATTCAATATGTCAGGTGACTAAGGTGTGTTACCTATGGACTGGAAGGACACAATCGTCACTTCCATACATAAAACAGGACCAAGGCAAGTTCCATCGAACTACAGACCTGTAAGTCTCACCAGTATTGTAGTTAAAATATTGGAAAGGATAGTCAAACGGACCATATTGGCATTTATGGAAACCAATAACCTGCTAAACATAGAACAACATGGTTTTCGAAAAGGGTCTATCTTGTACAACGAACATCCTTGTAGCAAGGGAGTTTTGGATAAAGGCGCTAGACGACGGAAACTCAATGGATGTTCTCTAGATAGACTTCAGTAAGGCTTTTGACAAGTTGCCAACTAATAGACTGCTATTGAAGTTGGCAAACCTTGGTATTGGCAGAGCTCTCTTAAAGTGGATTAGGGATTTCCTAGTAGGTCGTAGGCAGGAAGTAAGAATGAATCTCAAGTGATCCATCTGGAGACCAGTACTTAGTGGGGTACCTCAAGGTTCCGTCCCAGGTCCTTTACGTTTTATAATGTATGTTAATGATCTCCCAAGTATAGTACAGTCTCCAATGTTATTATACGCTGACGATGTAAATATCTGGCGAGTAATAATTGGAGACGCAGACGCATATGCTCTTCAAGCAGACTTAAATAATATGATCAACTGGTCTAAGGAGTGGCTGATGCCTATCAACGCAGCAAAGAGTGTCTTCATGCACTTTGGGGATTCAAAGGTTAATAGGTACGACATAGGGGAAGTGCCATTACCCGTGGCCCGGCCTCATAAGGATCTAGGGCTGACAGTGAGTCATGATCTTAAGACGACGGCCTATTGCCGGGAGATCGTGGTTAAGGGATTTCGAACCCTCTGGGCTTTAAAACAGACATTCACTTAGTTAGATACTACCATGTTCGCCACAATATACACATCCTTAGTGAGAACTAAGCTTGAGAACTGTGTTCAGGCTGCAAGCCCCTGTTTACAAGATGACCCGGATATCCTAGAAGTACAGAGGGCAGCTGCCCGTGCAGTTCCAGAACTCCAGAGTTCACCATACAAAGAGCGGCTTGAAAAGATGAACCTCTCTAATCTGTCCTATCGCAGATTAAGGGGAGGTCTAATTTTTAATACTGAGAAACGATTTTGAACCTAACTAATTCTCTCTTTTTCTTACCACTAGATCGTGACATCTCAAAGGACATAGCAGGTGAGTAGAAAAGCCAGGAATTAACAAAATACCCGTGGCATACAGGTTTTTACACCGAGTCATCAATACTTGGAATCTGCTGGCCGAAGCAGTGGTGTCCGCACATTCAATCGTTTCTTTCAAGAGAAGACTGGACACTCACAGAAGCATACTAGAAAAGGAATAACATAGGCCATATGCCTTCTGTTCTTAGTACACAAACCTGTATCTGAATCTGACATTCAGTGACAGTTCACTGACCTCACAGACATGACACTTAAAGCCAGATTCGAAGTAAGGTCTATTCTCTGAAGTGATTGTGTTCACTTCTTGGGAATGACGAGCGCTACGCAAAAAGCAGTAATGCTTTACTTCGTCCAGTAAATCTTCTAGTTTTAGTCATATTCTAAGGTATAAAAGCTTTTTCCATACTTATTTAGATTTGATTTTTAATGTCAGCATCATAGAAGCCTTTACCTTTCGTATTCAGTGTCTAACACTTTTAGAGCTTCGGAAACACTTGTTTTAGAAATCAGATGTTTTTTGTCGTCTCTTAGTTTTCACAGCGCCCAAAGATTTTGTTTTTTTGTTATTTCTGTGAGCTCAGTTAACAATTTAGACGGCCCAAACAAATTACCATTGCGATGGACTCACATGCTGCTGTCCGCCTTTGGATCACCAAAGCAGATGATGTGTCGAATGATTTGAGGCCTACCCGAGTTAGGCGGGAATGGTGTGATTAACCAGCAGACATCAAGATCACATTTCACGGTCAGTACTGAACCTGGATTACCCTTTTGTCTCGTACAAGTAGTATCACTGATCCGGTGACCGTATGACACCACTGACGTCATTACAGAAATACATTACCAAGGGCAGTTACAAGGAACAGAGTGCGACCACTGCTTTATGGGACAACCTATAATGTTCAGTTAACTGGTGCGCGTTGGTTGTTCTTGATCTTGACAAAGACTGGTAAATCGTTTGATATTCAGTGACCAGGCTGCAGGACGATTTGGCTAAGGCTCGGTGACAATTCGCTGATCCTACACGCTCGAGAGTGGAATGCAATGTAATAACTCCAACAAGTGGTATCATTACGTGTGCACTTAACTCACACTGCCTGCATATAAGGGATATTGTAAGCCACTGTTTTGTTGGTTGCAGAACGTATGCTGTCTCTGTCGATTCTTGAATGATTAAGCTGCTGGACACAGCTAGAAAGATGCATTCAAACGAACAGTCAGTAGCAGATGAGCAGGTGATGGATTGTGGGGAAGCATTGAGTGTCATCATTATTTTAACCTTGAATTCAAATGAACTCAATAACGTGGATGGCAAAGGAACAGATGTCAACACAACTACAAGGATAACAAAAAAGTATACAAAGAACTGCAAAGTATGTCAGTTCAAAGTTTCAGCTACCAAACCCAATATAAACACAAAACAGACCACGTAGGAGCAAAACCTGAAAGTCATAGAGGAAGAAAAAGAAGCTAATTATTAGCTTACTGTAGCATCCAGAAAGTCAATGAAAAAAGGTTAAACCTGAGCACCTGATGCTAAATCAAACTGCGTGTGTAACGACCGAAGTGTCAATATTCAGTTTGAACTCAGAACTTGTAGAATTATGACCTAATTCGTTATTAGTACTGCTCTAATAATAGACCTAATCCTAAAATTGTAGATTTATCATGATGTGACTACTTCACCAATAAGATCTTACGTGGAAACTACACCATTGTCTACACTGACTAGTCCTATCGTAAGAATCAACAACATATGATGGAGAACACAGTTAGGCTGGAGATATAACAGCATATTTGCTATGAATAAAAGAGATAAGTCTCAGACGAATGACCACGCCTGCAAAGCTGAAACATGCCATCCGATTGAAT